GTTAGTCTTTATTCATTAAGAAGGTGAGATGTGATTAAAGACAGTGAGGGAGAAGTGAGGGACTTTACCAACAATTGGGAGGAGAGCAACCAGGCAAAGGAAGAACCAGAGGGAGCTCCCTAAAATGGGAGCATCCATGCATGTTGTGTCCAAGAACAGTAAGTGTGGCTGGAGTAAAGTGGCAAGAGAGTGAGGAGCAAGACAGAGAGGTGAAGAAGCCAAACTGTGTAGGGTCTTCTGCACTGAATGAGGTGGGAGAGGCACTGGAAGGGTCTTGGCAGAGGCATCGACTGACTTATTTTAAAAGGCTCACTCTGACTGCTGTGTTCAATATGGCCTATAGGATACCTCAAGGAGGCTGCTAAAATAATCCCAGAGGGAGAAAATGTTTGGCCTGGACTGGGAATAGTAGTAGACAATGGTGATAGGTAATCAAGTTCTGGATATATTCTGAAACAGAAAAGCAAACAGGACGGGGCTGGGGATGTGACTCAAGCGGTATCGTGCTTGCCTGGCATGCGTGCGGCCCGGGTTCAATCCTCAACACCACATACAAACAAAAATGTTGTGTCCGTCGAAAACTAAAGCATAAATATTAAAAAAACTCTCTCTCTCTCTCTCTCTCTCTCTCTCTCTCTCAAAACAAAAAAAAGAAAAAGAAAAGCAAACAAGATTTCCCAGCTCACTAGATATGGGTACATGAGAAAGAGAAGTCAAAGATATAACAGAGATGTTCTATCTGAGCAACTGAAGAGATGGAGTTGGCATCAACTGAGATGGAAAAGGTTGCCTGGAATGACTGCCTGCAATGACTGCAGGTACAATAGGTTTAGAGGAGGGGAAGCAGATCAGGAGATCAGCTTTAGTCCTGCTGAGATTGAGGTGTCAGACGTTCATGTGAAAATGTAAAGGAGGCAGATGGATCCAAGTCTCAAATTCTCAGAAGAGAGCTTTGGGATTTATGTAAATCGAAAGCCATCAGCATATGTCATCTAAAGCCCTGTGGCAGGATGGATTCTCTAAGGAAGAACCAGGACTGAACCCTGGAGCACTACAACCTGAGGAAGTCAGGAAGCAAAGGAGGAAACAGCCAAGAAGACTGAAATGTCCAGCAAACTACAGAAATCACGAGAGAATATAACCCTAGAAGCCAAATAAAGAGTGCATCACACAGGAGGGAGCAATCAATCAGCTGTGCCAAATGCTACTGACCCTTCAAAAGTAATTTAAGATGAAGAATCAGGGACTGATTTTAGCAGTGAGAATGGTCTCCAGGCAGTGCTAGGAACAAAAGCTTACTGGGGTGAGTTCAAGAAGAGATGGGAAATGAGGAACTGAAGACAGATTATAGACAACTCTCAAGTTCTTCTACAAGAGAAAGGAATGTAGCTAATGGAAATGAGATGGTTATTTTCAAGATGGAAGAAACACAAATATTTGTAAATATTTATAGCAAGATATATGATATGGAAGAAAAGGTAACAAATTGCTGGCAGGTGACAGTAATAGCCTGTGGAAGCTCTCTTCATACTGCTTCAGGTTTCTGAGTGAACTTGGAGACAAGATCATTTGTTGAAAGTAAGGATGAGAAAGGAGGTACAGTTTGAGGAGAGATGTGAAGGTATAAAGCAGCTATCCAGGAGAGCAGAATAAATGGATTGCAGTCACAAAATGACTGCCTGGAAGCATGAAGGGCCCACTTGGAGACTTAGGGCACACGCATCAGTGAGTAAGTTAACCTGGTGGTGTGCCTTTCAACAGCAGCAATTTTCAATAGCACAGGTATCAGCATGCAGTGGGTGGGAAGCCGGAATGAATGAGAACTAGCTTTGTCAAGTGAATACGATGAACAAAAGAGGGATAAGGCACACACAGGGGATCAACTCAAGGAATGATCATGAGGACCATCCAATGGGTGAAGGACATAGAACAGGTGACAGGATCAATAAACTGGAGGCCATCAGGATGGAATACTGCCAGGCAGAAACAAAAGGGTACATGCTAGAGATGAAATCATGCTCAAATATACATCTTCAACCCACATCTATTATGGGCTCTTAAAACAAAATACACCCAGCAGCCTACCAGACATCCACAAGTAGACATCCCACAGGCACCTTAAGCCAAGTATGTTAAACTGAACACATTCTTCTCCCAAACCTCTTCACTCTTCCCAGTCTATTTCCTGCTCAGTTTTTCTCTAGACAGAAACCCAGGAGACTGACCTCTTTATCCTCCTACCCTCCACCAACCCCCCCATGTTTTCATCCTCATATCTAATCAGTATCTGCAGATTCAACTACTTCATTTTTCTGTCTCCAACCTATCTACTAATCTCAGGCCCAAGACAACCCCATGACTTAATTCAGGCTGCTTCTTCTTTCAGTTTTCCTTCCTTCCTTCCATTCCTCCTTCTTTCCTTCTTTCTTTCTTTTTACTAGGGATTAAACTCAGAGTCTTGTGCACAATAGGAAAGCACTCTATCACTGAGCTATATCCCCAGCCTTTTATTTTATTTAATTTTGAGTTTTGAAACAGGGTCTTACTAAGTTGCCCAGGCTGTCCTCAAACTCATGATCCTCCTGCCTCAGTCTCCAGAGTAACTGAGATTATAGGCATGCACCACCACACCAGGCTAACTTTCAGGCTTCTAATCCATTTTCCAAGATAATACTAGAGTGCCTTTCCTATATGATCAAAACAAAGATATGTAAAGTAATAGTTTCTCACTGTCTTTAAAAATAAAAGCCATGCCTGTAATCCCAGCAGCTCAGGAGGCTGAGGCAGGAAGACTGCGAGTTCAAAGCCAGCCTCAGCAATTTAGCAAGGCCCTAAGCAACTCAGCAAGACCCTGTCTCTAAATGAAATATAAAAAGGACTAGGAATGTGGTTCAGTGGTTAAGTACCCCTGGGTTTGATCCTTGGTATCAAAATAAACAAATAAATAGAAGCCACATTCCTGGGATGACACAAATATTCCTGTGAAACCTGATCCCTCCTTTAAAAATGTACTCTACCCCCTTTCAGACTGAAGTGTCTTTTGAGGTCTCAAAACACCTCATATATATGATAGCATTTACCAAATTATATTTTAGTTATTTATTATTTGTCAGTATCTGCCACTGGATTACATGGTCTTAGAAGGTAAGATCCTGAGATCCAGGCTGGGGTTATGGCTCAATGGTAGAGCACTTGCCTAGCACATGTGAAGTACTGGATTCAATCCTCAGCATCATATGAAAATAAATAAAATAAAAGGTATTGTGTCCATCTACAACTAAAAAAAAAATTTTTAATTAAAAAAAAATCCTGAAAACCTTGTTATATTCAAATTTAATACCCTAGTGCCAGAAAAAATTCAATACCAAGTAATCAATACACTGTAAATACTCAGATAAAACAAAATTATCAGCTGTTTTTTAGTAATAAGTGTTTAGTAAAGAGATTCTCTAGCATTTAAGAAATTCCTATAGAGAAGAAACAAAGTTGATAATCATCACATGTCATTCAAAAAATATTTACTGACTATCTACCATAGCCAAACCTAGAGCCCCTGAGGTAATGGGCTTACAGTCTCATAATATCAATTTGTTATTTATGAAATACATCCTATATACCAATACTGTGTGTTAAGCACTTTATATATATGATCTTGTTTAATTTTAACAACACTATAAGACAATATGCTATTACTATTATGACTTTAGAAATGAGGAAATAAGACAGACATCTTAAGTATCTCCCAAAGAACATAAAGCCAATAACTGGCCAAGTCAGTAGATCTGATTCCAAAGTCTTAAATCAGCCTACCATTCAATCCTCTTACAATCAATCATTAAAATACTAGAGAGTGGCCTGGTATCATGTCATTATCAGAATGTAATTTTCTCTCCTCCTTCATGTAGACATCTAGAAAGATGTCTCAAGGACATCAGGATAACAACTTCATGAAGTATCTATGCTACCGTGGGACAAGTATGAGGAATCCACTGTAGAACTGGTTTAAAACCTGGCTTGTTCTGTTTTATATGGCTATATTTTTTAATGTTTAGAAAAAGAGGAGGGGAAGGCTAACTTCTTCAAAGACAAGGAGAACTTTCAATCAGGAAAGAACCAAAGGCTTAACAAAGAACTATTCAACCATTAACAGTTTATAGTGCTTTGTTTTGTTGTTTTTAAGCAAGAGAGGAAAATAACAATCGGGAGCAGAGAGCTAAAGAAGTAAAGGAACACAGGAGATGTGATGTCCAGCAGTTTCCTTTTACTTCTTGGGAAGACTCGCTGCCTTCTGGGATGAGAGAACAAAAGCAAAGTATAATCTCTCTCCATGTTTTGATGTTTTGACTAAGTAAGGAAAAAAGATCCTGGCGCAGCTCCCAGAGGCAGGGGTGAGCAGAATGAGAGCCATCTCCCATGTCTACAGAAACCTGGCCTGGCTACGCAAGCTACATTGAGACAGAGGGTGAGCTCCTGGCAGCAGCAGCAGGAAATGCCATCAGTTGCTAGGCCAGAGCAGCAAAAGGCACTAAGATCATTAGGCTGAGTATCGGGAAATCTGAGATCTAGCTTTTTCCCAGTTCTATTTCTAACCTGCTCTAACCTGCTGTTGACCTTGAACAAGTTACGTAACTTCTCTGGAATCAGGGAGCTGGATTTACACCCTTTCCGTTTCCATCTCTCAACTCACACCTGATTCTTCATTCCCACTCCCTTATTTTTAGAAATCTATTTTAGCATATATTTTATTTGAGTTACATATTCTCTATTCTTAATATATTCTACAGTTCCTCAACCACTCCATGACAGATTGCCTAAAGACAAAAATAGAACTGGAATATGACATATTTATTTTTTGTATTAAAAAATATGTAACATTATCTTAAAAATGATAAGGCCATAATCTCAGAACCTAAATAAACTATGTTTTTTTTGTTTTTGCATATTTCTTTCCAGGGTATTTTTTATTATTCTGCTGTGGTTTGTTGTTATTGTTACTGCTCTATTACAGATAAACATTACATTTTGGTAATATTTAGTTCACATTTCATTGCCTTCTATAAAACAGTGACCACATATGGAGAAAATTTCCCATGGCTGCTCTGGAGGCACTGACTTACCTACAAGAAGCCTTCCGAGTAGAATAGATGAATTCACATTTCCCATGGATGCAGTAACCATTGAGGTTTTCGGGGCAAGGCATGTGGTTTCCAATATAAACATCTTCTCTTTGATCACTAGCATCTTAAAAGAACACAAACCAGGTCACTGAGGAGTGAAAAATATGGACTTTTCAAAGATTCTGAAAAAGCAAATAAATTCACCCCTTGTCAGCCACCTGCTAGGCAATTTGGAAAGGAGATTTATCAAATGGGGGTTGGATGAGATCCAAGGTCCCTTCCTATTCCCATTATGCCACAAACACAGCAGGTAGACTGTTTAGATTCAATGTATTTAAAAATATCTGCAGGATGTGACTACTCTGTGCTACTGTTGTATAAGAACAACGTGCCAAAGAAAACTAAACATCATTAGTTTTCTTTTCATCTAAAGAAATAATAATGCTAGGTCTAGAAGTTAGTTCATTTCTGTGCAAGAAAGATGGCATACACTACTTGCCCTAGGGGAGTGAAGTTATTTATTTACTTGGGGCCTATGAAATGAAGACCATCTAAGAACATGGAATGGCAGAGAGCAAGTTACGGCATTCTAAAATTTTAAGGTAAAAAGTTTATTTTTGGAATGAAAGATCATACTGCTTTTTTTTTTAAATGAAAATAATTTTGCTGTGTCTTCATAAAATTTTTCTTAGCAGATGTTCATTTTAAATACAAGTCAAATAACATAGAGAACAAATTAAGATGAATTTAAAATCACCTGACAGACCTCTATCAAAAGAGAACCACTCTGCAAACATTTTGAACGTCTGTAGAATGATATGAACTGAGCTGAGCTGAGCAGAGTTTAAGTGAAGAAAAATGAAGCAAGGTGAGTAATGCCACTGTCAGAAAGGGGACAGAGTCAGAGGGAGACAAACAAAGCAATCTCTTTTTTAGCATATACACCAACATATCTATCCTCAGTTACATGGACCCAGAGTTCCACAATGGCTTGTCCATGTGCAGGAAAAATCACCAGGCCTCCTGCTGTCTCTCTTAGGGCTCCAGCTTACAAATTTTGTGCCCATTGGCTGTGTGACCTTGAGCATACTACCCTAAGATTCCATAATCATAAAATCAAAATAACAGGACCTATACTTCATACAGTTTTTGAGAGGATCACATGAAATAAATAATGCATTTACCATATGAATAACATAACCAGTTATATATATAGCATACAATATAATGGCAAAGGGTTCATCTCTCAAATACAAATAAAGGCATTAAGGAAATCTGAAGAATATTAATGGAAACAAATTTAAAAGAGAGAAATAGAGGCTTCTGTACATACGTATGGATGGGGAAGAGGAAGACCCAGGGAAAGGTGGGAAGAGAGGTGCCAAGTTCTAAAACTGAGAACTCAAAATGCAGACGTTCTGGTGCTCAAAATTTATATATAAACAAGAAGAAAAATTTCAGTGAGGATTAAGCTCAATGATACAGTAACTAATGTGGAGAGATCATGACACCACTGCCAAGACCAAAGACATGTCATATTACCTTGATTTATATATTCATATTGTTCTAATTTAATTTAAGCCTAGAAAGAGAACTGAACTAGAAGCCAGGGAATCTAAGATATAAATTCTTAATTCTTTCTGTCTGTCTGTCTATCTACCTACCTATTTATATATTTGTTTATGATGCCAGGGATTGAACCCAGGGGTACTTAACCACTGAGCCACAACCCCACCCCATTTTTTTTATTTTGAGACAGCCTCACTAAGTTGCTAAGTCTATAGCTTTGAACTTGTGATTCTCCTGCCTCAGCCTCCCAAGCTACTGGGATTATAGGCATGCACCATCATGCCCAGCTAAATTCTTAGTTTTAAAAATGTCCTTGCTTGGTCAAGTCAGGTCTTCTCCTGAAGAGAGGTGAATGAGATCAACGCTGTCCAATGGACACATGAAACTTGTTCTTACACAACAGTAGCTTATAGTGGTCACATCCTGCAGATGTACTTTTATATCTTCTAGAGTCCAAATTTTAAAAAGTAAAAAGAAACAGGCAAGTTAATTTTAATCATACACTTTAACCCGACATATCCAGTAAATAATATCATTTATTGATATTATTTATTAATTATTATTATTACTATTATTTATTTATTTATTTTTATATTATAAAAAAAAGTATTTTACATTCTTTTTTAAATAAGACTCAAAGTCTGATACTTTAAACTCACAACACATCTGAATTCTCACTAGTCACATTTTCAAGGGCTCTGTGGCCATCTGTGGCTCGTAATCACCACAGTAAACTGCACAGAATAGATGACCAATTTGTTGATCTTCTATCAATTACCTTCCACATGCCAAGTACTTTGCTAGATTGCTGGGGATATAAAGGGCTTCACGGTCTCCTCTAGCAGCCAGAGTTAAGTCCCATGGCAAAAGAAACCAAGCATTCTTTGTCCAGCTGTGACCCTGAGCATCCACCCCTCTGTGGACACTCATGAAACTATGGTTCAGCTGTGTGGGTTTTGAAATCATTCTCTGCCATGAGAATGTGAGCTCCTTAAAGAGTGTTGACATTCATGTCATCCCTGTCTATATACTCCTTACACTTAGAACATAACTTAGAACTTAGACAGCTCTAGAGTCAGCCTGCCTAGGTCTGAATACAACCTGGGTTTGCCTAGCTACAACACCTAGTGGCTATATGACCTAAAGACATTTAGGTCATATTTATTTAGCTGTTCGTGGCCTTCAAGTTTCCTCATTTGAGAAATGGAGATAAAAACAGTGTCCACTTCTTACAGTACTGTTTTAGAAACTAATGAGACAATACATTTAGTGTATTAATGTATATAAGATCTTATAGAACTCAGAATTGTGCCTAGCAAACCATAAGCCTTTAATAAATATTACCAAGTATTATTCCATGCTCAATAAATGTTACATGAATGGATTCTAATTTCTACTTGTTGACAAGCTGTACTATAAAAATATTCTTCTATTTTATGGACTAGTAGGATAGCTCAATGATAGAATGTTTGACTAGCATGTATGAAGCCCTGGGTTCATTCCCTAGTAGCACAAAGAGAAAAAAAAATCTTCAGTTTTGCACTTTAATCTTTCATTGAAGGAAAAATAAATTATAAATTGACAAAATTATTATCCACATAGAGTCCACCTTGAATATTTCCTTAAACTGAACTGCTTTTAGCAGTCCTGGTTCCATGTTTCACAACAAATTAAAACTTAATTTTAACAGATCTTTTATTAATAAATACTTGTGATCAAAACAGACTTTCCTCATGCAATGAGCATTCACTGACAAGAAATAGTTTAATAAAAATCAACAACAACATCAACAAAAATTTACTTTTCTTACAACGGCTTCAAACTAAAAATGCCATCTTCCATTCCTAGTCAAGTCATGAGGGATTGGAGGAAGCAATCACCGTGCTACATCATGGCACATCTCAGAACTTGTTTCTTTCACAGTGGGACACCATAAAAGTATGTAATCAGGGGACTGCAGAGAGTGAGATCATGTTTAGCTAAGCTACAGAAGACATGAAGAAAAAACATACATGGACCTTGCCCTCAAGAAACTTATAAACACACACACACACACACACACACACACACACACACACACACACAAAGCTGAACCACACAAAGAGGGCACCACGTGGCAGTTTACAATTGAATGCCACTAGGTGCTATGGAAGTTTAGATTCAAAGAAATCAATAGGCAAATTACTCAGAAAGGACTTATATAGATAGGGTAGGACTCAAGTTAGGCCCCAAATCCTAAATAGGTTTAGATAGAGAAATGGAAGCCAAAGGGAAGATATAATACACACTGAAGGAACAGATCAACCTACCGAGAAGAGTTAATGAGATGGGAAGTATGTAAATAAAGATGGAAATGCAAGCTGAAAGCACTGAATTCTGGGTAAGACATGTTTTCTTGATCATAGATAAGGAAAATACTGAACAACATAAGGTAAGCTCTGTTTTATGTAAAATTTAATTGACAGTGGTTGCCTGGGGTTGTTGATTAGGAGGGTTAGACAGTGACTGGCTGCTAATGGATATGAAGTTTCTTTTGGGGATGATAAAAATGTTCTAAAATTAGATTATGATAAAGTTTGGTGAACTCTGTAGGTATACTAAAAACCATGTGAACTTCATGATATGTAAATTATATCCCAATAAAGGTGCTAAAATAGTTGGATACCAACAAACCAGATAAAGTGGCAAAGGGACTAGGAAGACAAGTAGCCAAGTAGAAAGTAAACAGAGCATACTCCAAACTCATGGCAGTGAAAAGCTAAGCTAGTGCTCAGCAGGAGGAATAAATACTAGGACACAGAAAATAAATAAATACAGCCTGAAGGTACTCCGGAAAGTGAATGAGCTGAGAAACTTGGACTTGGAAGGCTCCATGGAAGCCATCTGGTCTGATGAAGGAATCCCTTTAAATTAACCCTGGGGGTCTGTTTCTACTTGAACAATTCCAGAAACAACAAACTCATCAAAATACAATAAATTCCAATACCATCAACAGATTTCATAATGTTGAATGTAATTTCTATCTTTGTATAGATTTTCTACAGTCTGTTCACACTCTTCCCCCTACCCACCAATCTTTTATTCCGATAGCCAAACTTCCCATTTCCATCCTTGCTTGACTAAGCTTAGTGTGCAACCCAGTACATTTAGTAAGAACAGAACCACCGTCTTTATTAAAAGGGAATGATGTAAAAATGGGAATGCTCTTAAAAGGGAATGATGTAAAAATGACTGTAAACATGAGCCTAATGATAGGTGGTCCAGGATATAGAATGTACTAAGCTGGGTTCAAATTTACATCTCATCATCCACTAAGTATTTGCTAAACAACTATTACATTCTAAGCACTATAATAGCTCCTGGAGTTGAGGCTACAGAAGAGCAGAGAGTTAAGTACAGAGACTCACTAGGGAACTAAAATGTCAAACTAGTGCTCAGAGAAAGATGAGGCTAGGGAACAAAAGCTCACCAAAGTAACAGTGCCAACTAGATTAAATATTCTGAAGAAGATTCAGAAAGAAAGCAAATGGACAGAACAGAATTCTGGAATATCTG